GCAGTTTGAAGGCTTTAAGAAATCCCGTTAGGTGCAACGGGTTTAAGTCCCACCCAGTGGATAAGAAGCAAGTTGCGGAAGAAATAATGATGCAAATTACAAACACAGTGCTCATTGCACCCGAAATCAGAGCCGTTTGACGGGTTCTGCAAGCTATATGGACGTGAATCAGTACCAAACCATTACCGAGCGTTTACGGGTCATGATGACACTTCGCGGGCCAGTTCCAATGTGTTTACTCTCGTGGTAGCATGCCATTGATAATTAAGTGCTCGTTAATACTGTCTATCGCTGATAAGTTGGTGATTGATGATGAAATGTAAATTTGTCGCGAGGCTACCCGACACGAAGCTACCGATTTGTGACATCATCCAGATACAATCGCGCTGCTGGATTCGACGTCCTAATCAAAATTAGCAAGAAATGTGTAGTATGAATTTATCAAGTAGACTTTAATGAGCGTGAATGGAATATGATACTGGACTGAAAAAAAAAAACGCTGCAATAGGGGTGTGGACGAGGCAGCTTCTTTTCTTTATGAGAGGTTTAAACAACTTTTTGTGGCAAACACACACACATAAACTAAGTTTATTTAAAAGTTCTTTTACATTTCGAAATTCTGACTTATGATTATTGAACAGTTAATGCCTAGTTGATTTGATTTCAAAACCGCAAAGCCACACAGCAACAAGCTCACTGCTCAGCCCTTACAAAGACAGGCTGAGTCAGCCAGACGGTAACCTTGCTGGCTGCCACGAAGGACAGGGAAGTGTTGCAGAGAAGGGGAATATTGCAGGAAAATAGACGCAAGGAGACCGCTAAAACAAAGTGGATCGACCATCACACGAAAAAAAACTGGCTGGTATATCACGAAACACTATTTTCCCGGTGCAATCTGTTAGAAAACGTCGCCGCTTTATTTAGAATCAATACACGTTTCCAGAACTGGTTAAAATCACAATCAATGTGAATCTATACCCAAACCCAGATTCATGCTTTCAGTCCACGACAATGTCATGAGCCACCTGCAGATCTGCACCACACAATGCACAAATCGCACGCATGACTCAGTCCTGTTGCGATCGGTGATAGGCACCACGACATGTCATTTGTGGAAACCAACAACGGCCATTCGCGGCTTTCGAGGCTCCAAAACACGTTACCGGTTCTGGCAGCGACCTTGAGAGTTCGCCCTGTCTGTCCACAAAAACGCTGCATTTCCCGAAATTGCGACCAGCGAACCCTTCACAACCGAGCCTTCATTATAAAACTGCATATCTTTATCGCTTCCTCGTTATTTAGCATGGCAGTGCTTCTTTTCCGCAGATAAAGAGACTAACGGAGCGAACCATCCTGTTCCGTTTTCCTTGCTGATCCCGTGACACTATCACCATCCGCGTTCCTGCACCCATTACCCAACCCCCAAGTCCATAATCTGACACACTTGTGTTGCCGTTCTTATGGCATCTCTTCCTGGCCTCTTCCCCTAGCCCTCTTTGTCATCCCTAACCTACCGCTCTCACCCTTCTCCCTAATCTTCATCCCAGCCTGTCGCTCTGAACTCCATCCACTCCACAGTCATGATCTACCATAACAAGCTCCCCTCGTCCATCTCAACACGCTTGGCCAGCTCGCGATATTCGGAATTCCCCTTCCTCGGCCAAAGCAAAAGTCGGGCTAATCTGCACCCCTCGCTACCCGGGTTGAAACCACGACAAATGCAGCCAGGGCCTCGTTTCATAAAGCGAGTCCGTAGCTTACGCCGTTTTTTTGCTTGTATTGCAATCGCATGTGAAGCCATAAATTTATTTCCCCTTCTCCGTTCTGTTCTTGCTCGCAAGATGAATAAAATGAACGATTTCAACTATCGTCATCGCTTCACATGCAATTGCAATACAAGACCAAAAATCGGCGTAACTTACGGACTCGCTTTATGAAACGAGGCCCAGGACGTGGATAGCAACATGAACACTGAGCAGCGGCCACAACAGCCATGAAATGAACGCCAGCGGCCGCCCGCTGCAGACCGCTGCGTTTCTGCAGCCGCATCGACGTCAAACTCAGTCGGGTATATGGGTTGTCTGTCTAGCCAGGCTGTCTGGCTATACTGAAGGCAGTCTGGGACTTGGGAGACCATGTCTGACAAGGCCGTCTGGCAGACTGAAGGCTGTCTGCGAGGCTGTCTGACAAGGTTTTCTGGCAGACTGAAGGCTGTCTGGCCAGACTGAAAGCTGTCTGGGATACTGTCTGACAAGGTTGCCTGCCAGACTGAAGGCTGTCTACTTAGCCAGACTAAAGGCTGCCTGGGAGACTGTCTGACAAGGTTGTCTGGCAGACCATCTGATCCAGACAATTCACAATCCTGCAGCTGGGGTAGGACCTTGCTCTCGGCGGTGCGGTGACGGCTATTAGGCAGAATGGCGTGGTAAGCCGAATAACGATTATGAACGAAGGGTCCTATAAATTGATGGATGGTTGGACGGATGAAGTAGTTGTGCTTCTTTTTCAAAACGATGGTTTTCCTTTGCACATATCTATTTTTGATAGGACCTTCTACTTGAACTCGAGCGTGCGTACACAATCTTCCTGAGTTGTCAATTATCGGACACGCGAAGTCACATTCGTAAGTGCACAGATTCGCCAGCAGAGTTCTGTTTCATTCCCTACTTCTGCAAAACATCAAACTGCACACTGCACAGGGCACACATGTGCACGTGACGACACAGCTGAGGTGGTGTGCTGAGCACGTGACAAAGCTCAGTTACGGACACGGGCGTAACTTGGTGTGTGTTTGATTCGGAGCTCACACTATTTCATAAAACTGCGGTAGATTTGCTATGGAAATACGAGACTCGTACTATGCATTCGTTCTATGTGATTTGCTTTCGAGTAACTCTCAATAAATGTTGTGTATCTGTATCTTATTGTGATGTATTGGCATATGATATGACTCCGCACCAACGTCGAAAACAGACACACCCATAAATCCGATGAATGCTCATCTCAGCACGACCTCGACCGCTCCGTCGGACAGCTCTCATCCCAAACACGGTCATAAAAACAGGACCACGCGCGAGCCGAATAGTGGGACCGAGGGGGGGGGGGGGGGCTGGCTACAGAAGAGCGACGGACAGTAGCCACTTGGGCCGCCATCTGGTCTATAAACACGGGCTGACCGGGCTGTGCCGACCGCCACACAGCCAGTCGGGGGACAAAGGGACAATGGGATTACGGAGGGTGGTACGTCAGCTGCTGTACACGGGGAAAGGGAGGAGTCCACCGGAATGTCTGGGTGGTGGATGGGAGCGTGGTGGACGGTGGACAGTGGACAGTGGACAGAGATGGTGGACGATATTGTCAAATGTAGCGATGGAAATGGACGCTTATGGCATGTTCAGCCAGACTCTTGTGCAAGCAAAGAACAAAAGAAAATCCCTCAGGTTACTGAGAAAATTGCATAGAAATTAATGAAGGATACTTGATGCAACATGTTAAAACGTACAAAAACGAACCCATTTCCTCACAACCGACGATTATCAGCCGCCACGTGTTCTATGATTATAATTATTTCGCATTTAAAGCCATCTGCGATTTATCATAAAAGGACAATGATCTGAAGAAAGAAAAAGGAAGCATCTCGAGCAAGCGCAATTATGTTGAAATATTGGTATATAATGATGATAGATATCCAAGCGGCGGTACCTACATCGATTATTCATTACTATGTGCACTGTGCGGTGTGGACTGTGAAGCACCGTTAGTCCTGCGAGGATGTGATGTGGGCTTACCCAAGACTTGAGTGTTCGCTCACTCATCAAAGAATGATTCTAATTATTTCGGACAATGGCCTCATATAATTGATTGGCAAGCCACATGCAAAGAGTTCATTTACGTGTGCACGTGCAGCGCAGGTGCATGGTATAGTATTTCGCGGGTGAACGGAATGTTTGCAATTCCAAATCTGACATTCTATGATAATACGGCACTGAACGTAAACCGAGTAAGCAGGCTTAGTGATATAAGTGCGGCTTTAATGCCGCGTGAACCTACATATACATATTATTGTATGTCCATTGTCCATGTGGATAAATCTTTGTAGAAATGGAATACAAAAATCTGTAGAACTATGGATGAATTCGCCGCAAGATCGATAGACAGCTGAACATTTAGTGAACAACCAGTTCGCTGACCAAACCTATATTCTGCCTTTCGAGCACTGTATTGTATTATTGGCAAGCAGCACACTGAAGCGCGAATGATAATCGTAGTCTTCGAGACCACACCAGGGCTCACACCACAAACAGGGAAATCATTTTTTCAACATTACTTTCTCTACATGGTACGCAATGGTATATAACCCCATATTATCCGTTGGAGCTGGAGTAATTCGCACAAACATACTCTCACCGCCATATTTTTTTTTTTTTGCTACGCCCACCCATCTTTCCTAGCTGTTGATAACAGCGTAAGCCTCCTGCAGGGGTGAAGATGCCGCACCACTGACTGACCACTAATCAGGTGATCGCTTTTTGCACAACCTTCCCGGCACCCTTAGAGGCAGGGTTAAATCGGCTCACCGCAGATCGCGCGCCGTGCACGGAGTAGCGTGCAGAGTGCACTGTGTGCACGCCGTGTTTGGAACTCAAGTGTCGACAGGTAGCGGTGCCAGAGGAGGGAGTGATGGGTCATTACTAAGAGGATGTGGGGCGGTCCATGGCTCAAACACATGGGGTACTCCCGAGACAGTCTCATCTATCCCAGTGACGCCGTGATGCACTTGACCCACAACCAGCACCGGTCGCTGCGGCGTGCGGAGCTCCACCGTGCAGGATTAGTTCGGTGCAGCGGATGGGTACGTGAGGATCTGCACACACAACACGGCTCTCCTCTCAGACTGACACTAATCCTACGAACCACCCGTCACCGGCGCAGTTTCAGAGAGCACTGACCACACTTGACGCCGCTGTTCCCAGCGTCCGATCGACGACCCACAAACCCACCTGCACGGGTCCTGCCGGGCCGAGACGAGACGAGACGAGACGGAACGGAGCGCGGTGCGGAAGACCGGCGGAGCTGCGACGTCACCCCACTCAGCGCGAGCGCGACCCACTGACTGCGGCTGAGCGGACGACCGGGCGCAGTCGCGGACGGCGCCCGGACGGTCGGCCCCGGCCGGTTGGCCCGTCTGCCGCCAGGAGGCGGACACTCGAGCGGGGAGGTTGCTTGCTCTCATACTTGCACCCCTGACCAACGCTTGTATATACGCTGTAAGTGCCGGCCTGTAGATGGTGTCTTTCCCCACCCGCTATTTCAGTAACGGACCACGGTTCGTCGGAAAGTAATTTCATCCACAAAAGCAACGAAATATAGGTAGGCCTACACCAAACGAAAGCTGACGGTGAGCTGATTCCAAAAAATTGTTTTTTTTTCCGAAATCGTTTGATGGTCTTTTTCAAAAAAATGCGTTTTTATAAAAGCGTGATAATTTTTTATTCAACGAGCTGTCCAGGACATTCTTGAAATCATAGGCATGTTTGTTCGTTTTTCAGTGAAAGCTGAATGCCAAAAGAACAATATGTAGCGAAAAAAAAAATCTCAAATATTAATATGCGTCTCTCACAGCCGGCAACAAGGCGCAATCACACAGCTCAGTGTCATGATGGATCAAAGTAAGCCACACAAACGCGTGGAATGACCCTTATCGACTATAAAGCATGTATCACACGACACTTTCATACTGTGACCCCCAGTGACCTGACCTTTGTGAACTGACCTGGTATCAGTGACCTCAGATAGCAAAGTATGTGTCTGACGAACAATGTACCATCGATTGTTTTCAATAACTTGCCAATTTACTCGATTTCACAACACATTTCTTGAAATGCCTGTAAACGGTAAAATCCGACCTTTCACCTGACCTGTGACGTCATCGGTTTGACCTATGTCAATGAAATTTGGTCAGAAGGTGGGGCTATCGATAGCCCCACTATCGATCGATAGGTGGGGCTATCGAACACCGTTTGAATTTTGAAAATCGGCCGGTAAATTTCCGAGATGTTAGGGGGGGGGGGGGGGCGAAACGACTCCCCCTACGGGTGGTAGGGTCCGCCGATAGCCCTACGGGGCGCGGGTTCAGCTTCAATTGCCGGCCTTTAGCCACTACGTGCAATTGAACAATACAGCTATTTCCGGACAGCAAAGAAAAACATGAAAATGTAGAGGAAATGTAATACAAACTCCAATGCCTGTATTTTTTTCTTATATCAGGCAAAATCGTTATCCCTCCCCTCTTTGACCTACTTTCACATTCTCCTCCATTCCTCGTCCGCAGAAACCTGACAAAGTCGACATTCCGGGGCTCAGATGTCCCGTCGTCCGCAACACCTAATCCTCCCGGCGAATGGAGCGATACAACACAACACAACATGTGGCTACCGCCCGCAGGGCTGGCTACATCCCTCCACGACCTCCAAACACCAGCTCGGCGGAGCCGTGGATCTTGCTCCGTCACACTCTCGGAGGGAGAGCGGGAGGGTAGGAGGACACGGACCTCATCTGTCCCTGTCCGCGGAGAGGGTCATCATCATCATCAACATCATCATCAGCACCATGATCGGTAGAGGGATGTGAGTCGCGGAAGGCTAGAATAACGGAGGGTCGAGACATTATAGCTGAGCATTTGAGCAATTGTGGTAACAATCATGGCTCTACACGCTTCGTACTCGCAGCATGCTCAAATTGTGTATAGGAACTGAAAAGCCATATGACATGCTACCTAGAATAATCATAGACTGTAAAACACAGAAAAAGTCCATTGCAACAATCTTCATCGCTTATATTAATTGCTATTGTAGCTATGTGTTTAACGATCATGCCTAAAGCCTGAAACAGACTTTTTCCGCAATCAGGAAATCGCATGCGAGAGCCTATTCAAATACATGGAAGCACGCTCGCATCAATCGCACGCACCTCCCGCAAGCGATTGATGCGAGAAGAATTACAATGTATTTGAATAGGCTCTCGCATGCGATTTCCTGAACGCGGAAAGAGTCTGTTTCAGCCTTAACGCTATATTGAACAGCCTTGTCAGCGCAGAGAGACGCTTAAAACACTTGTCACTGCATCATTATTTCATACATAAGTAATACCGGTCGAATGAAATATAATGGCATTGCAGATTCAACAGTAAAAAATGTGGTGCATTTTTTAAATATTATTTTTTCTTGTGTCTTATTTTTCTCTATTATTCTATTCTATTTTTTCTTATTAGCCCTATTTCATTTTGTTCTTGTTATTGTTGTATTTTTTCTCACATAAGACTAAATTGTTTTAGCCTGAAATGTTGCATGTTCTCTGCATTGTTATTCGTTTTTACGTTTTATGAATGCATGTTGTACAGTAGTTTCACCGAAAGAATCATGTCACCACCCACTGACACCATTCGACTTGTCATGTCAGTTTGCATTGGATGATTTATCTGCATAAGCAGCGCGTGTACAATTTCAAGTGTGTTTTACAATGCATGCTTCGATAAAGCATTCCTGTCGTCAACACAAATATTTCGCAAAGCCTGACCGCATGGACTAAGGATAAGATGCTGAATGCATTTCAAAATGTATTTAAAATTTCGTTATCGCCTCATAGGAATGCCGTGGCTGGTTCACAAGAGAAATTAAAGATGCATGTTTCATGGTTATCATGTAGGTTGTATTAAAACGGCATTGCGAATCTAACAAGTGGTTAATTAAATGAGAATTTCAGTAAGCAGGAAACAAGCATTTTCAGTTGAATCCTCGTATATAAATTTTGTTTTCAAACCAGATGCAGGGCATGCTACCTGTCAATCTACGAACCACGAGTATGTTTCCTTGACATTGGAATGCAACGCTGGAAGATATCTAACTAAGGGTTCTTTGATGCAGCGCGGTTTTATGTAAGCTGACATCGTGAAAATCCCAGTACTGTTGACTTGTAGTTTCATGAAGTCCAAGTTTTTGTAACTATGCGTTTAGTAAATTCATTTAAGTATCACATGCATAGTTCCATCCACACTCCTTCCAACAAAGTTTGACAGCAGAAGTCCTGTCTTCGCTTCAGCAAGGAACATGGCCGGAAGGCAGGTATTGCATGCAAAATGCGCTTTCATCACTGACGAACTTTATTTCAAACAAACTCTTATAAGTTGCGTTGTGAAACGTTGAAGGAAGGTAACAATTTAATGCAAACACATCGTAAAATATTTCATACTTCGATTCACAGAAGTGGCACAACTGTCCTTGCCCAACAGTCCTTTACCAATCGTCTATACTTTACCCCTCATGATGAAGAATCCTATGTGCGCTCCTAGTGATCTCTGACACTTCTTCTGCTAACCTCTGTTAACCCTCGCCCGCACATGCCATTTTCCCATCCTAGAACGCACATGGGGGGGGGGGGAGGGTTGCCATCCCCCCCGCGCCATTTCGTTCCTGTTGGAGATAGAGCTTAGCGGTAAAGACCAAAAAGATTCTTTGGGAAGAGACCAATCCAATGATACCCAGTTTTACCTTCTCAGGTCAGTCATTGACCTTCCAGGTCAGGTCAAACTAAAAAAATGTTGCTGTTTTGGGTCACCGTTGGATATCAAGTGCGCTGCTTATCATATACCGATGACGATGCCGTTTTCTGGTGCCAAGCCAGCTAGAACCTCTTTGTCACACTACCCGACCAGGTTTTTGCTGCTGAGGTCATTTCAGGTCAAGTTAGGTCAAGGTCAATGATATGTGTTTGTATGTCTGTGTGTGTCTGTGTGTATACTGATGTGTGCACCGATTGTTTATGTGTCCATATTACATGAAATCATGATCTGAGAAGCTTTTACCAAAAATGCAGTCAAAAAACTTCACAAAAAGTAAATTCCGCTTGCCTAAAACGCCATTATCTTAGATGACTTAGGTTGACCTTGACCTTGACCTTGACATCTGTACATCGTCGAACAACATGTTCCATGATAGATGGGAGGTAAGACTGGTAAAAAAGGCCGAAATCAAGGTGTCAAAAGCTCACAAGGCCCATAGCCAACGCAAGATGTCGAGAATTGGCCATTTGGGTCATGACATGACCTGAAAAACAAAGTCATATCTCCGAAACCAATGACCATAGAAATTTGAAATTTTCAGTGGACATCAAGAAAGGATAGAGGAGCAGCTATACGAAAAATCAGCCTTCTAGCTCTAAAAATGTTGAGTGCAGCAGAGCAGAAAGACTACCTGGGGGGGGGGGGTGGCAACCCCCCCCCCCATTTGCGGGCGAGGGTTAAGGCTAAAACAGACTCTTTCCGCAGTCAGGAAATCGCATGCGAGAGCCTATTCAAATACATTACAATCCCTCCCGCATCAAACGCATGCGGGAGGTGCGTACGATTGATGCGAGCTATTTGAATAGGCTCTCGCATGCGATTTCCTGACTGCGGAAAGAGTCTGTTTTAGGCATTAGTGACAACTGACCGCTGACTTCTCTCTCGATGGGTCAGAGATTGGTTGTGATCTCAACTGATCTCCCTGTCACCTCCAAGATTATTTTACTACTCAGGTGGGTTCACTAGAGAAATAAAGGCGCCGTGGTGACGTCACCAGAGGAAATCCTTCATGTTCAAATGAAGGGGTCATTTGAATAGCTGATTTTGGCTCGATATAGTCCTATTTTTTAGTTTAAGCCCCCTTTATCGTAATGAGGCGAACGCATTGTTACATTAGCACAACTTTTGATGACACATAGTCCTTTTTTTCTCTAGCTCGCTCGAAAGACGATGAAATTTACATACATGCCTATGGGTGAAGGGAGATTTTACCGCCGTGGTGACGTCACGGTAAAGGGATTCTGGAGCTCGTGAACGGGGGCTGGTCACCTCCCCTTCCATAATTTTCCCCAGATCAGCTGACGTAAGGCGTGTGTGTTCTTATGCACTGCTAATTCCTTTTTATGGCTGCTCGTTGTGGCTGATCACTGGGACCAAACTAATGTTACTGCCGAAACAATCAACATGCGCTGCATTGTCGGCACGATTGAGGCTCGTAAGCAAGTCTTGTTAAGCATCGTTGACAGTTATGTATGTACATCAGCCAGAGAGCATTTC